TGAATATAAAGTGATACCTCAACGCGGCGCTCAACGGAATGCTACCGAAGTGTAATTGAATAATTTCTTTAACGAAATGAAACTGAATTCTCAGACAATTCCACCTCGGTAGCTGCATAAAGAATTTTATCGCAGCAACCGAGTGTTATGCAGATATAAAATCGTTTACTGGAACTGTTTTTCACATACGTCGCAAAAAGCGAATTATAGTAAGTTTAACGTCTCTATGTCTGTCTGTGACATCGTAGCGCCTAAATGAATAAACCGAATTATGTGTTTTTTTTTTGTTAATTTACATTATTTTTATTTCAGTCTAATATGTTTATTATTTTTTTTTTATTAGTTTATGGTATCTTTTTCTATAGATGTATAGTGATTGACATAATAAAGATATAGGCTATTTTTAATTCCTGTTAATCATGATCACACACACGCAGTCGCATGTAGAACCTAGCTATGTACAATCTGCAGAGACAACAAGCTGCAGAGTTTGTTTGGTCGATCACGCTAATCGCGGGATGTATTGATTCGAATTAAAAATATATTTTAGTATTGGATAGCCTAATGTATATGTATATATTATAGAGGAAGGCGTTATAACTTCACACTATGTGACACGCAGACGTAGTCACGCAGGTCAGTTTATTTTCTATAATACTTGCTAAAATAAAATACCTATACATTATCATTAATGTTGTTTGGGCTAAATCCTATTTTGTATCTAATTGAAAATTAGAAATTTGTAGTAAATAAAGCGAAACAAAAGTACCCAGTCATTTTGATGTACGGCGATGATAAACGATCTGTTTCTACCTCAGTGGAAATGAATGGAGCTATTCACTAAGCTACAACACTGTTGTTGGCGTCTGGCTCGGCATTATTAACTGTCAAACTCAAACGTCAAACAATAAATCTGAATGTAATCATAGGTAAATGTTAAGGATGTATTATATTTTATACGACAATTACCATGAACGGAGGCAGATATAGTAAATAGACATATAATATCTATTTCATTATGTAAATAAAGATAAACTTTTGCAGGACTTTACTTATATAGAAAGTGTTTTCAGAGATAAAGTTTTTAAAATGAAAATGTATCCCCATTTTCTACAATTATACTAATATATTATATAAAACGTGTACACTATTCCTATGAAGCTTGTAAATTAAATAATTCTATTATCAGTGAACTATATTGAAATATTCAATGAAAACTTCAGGAATTTTTACTGTTAAAGCAGATGTAAACAGTTACTGTCCTGTAAGGTGCCGGTTTCACGTTTATCAGGAGCAATTCAAGCAACATTGAAACATTACGGTCACAGTGACGTTATTATGTTTGTTTACTTCCTTTCCATAATAAAAATAACGATTATAGGTTTTTCACCGCAATACACTTTTTATAACTTGACCTCAATACTACAAAAAATTACTAGGCTTTAATAAATCTTATGCAATACATCTTGTAGAAATATATTCTTTTTTACAAAAAGTATTTGTGATTTTTAACATGTGTATATATACCTAATGTAATTGAAAGAAATAAAGAAAATTTCTTATAAAATGGTCCGATTTTTTACCAAGTAAAGACAAGTTATCACAAGACAATCGGAGGATTTAACTACAGTCTCTCTATCAATGTCGAAAGCTAATTTAAGTAAAAACAAAATATATTTATCTAATAATCATCATTCATTTTATGTCTACGTTACAGTATGAAATTACGGTTAATTTTACGTTTAGGTACTACATATTATGTTCTCTGCAGGTACTCGTACTAATGTAAGGTTTAAAAGAATATTATTTTTATAGGACACAATTTATTCAGAGTCATTTTATTATTATATTATTGTTTTCATATAGAAATTATAATTGTATTGTTTTTTATAAACATTTAAAAAACATATTTGTATATTAAAAACCAAACAAACAATGCTTCAGATGTTATTAACTGCAATAAACTTCAAACTACGTTAACTGAACCCATCACTTCTAGTATTTTAAAAGCGAGGTATAATTTTATCGTGGTAAGTCTGCCAGTCAAATTACTGAAGACGAACGTTGCAAATTGAAATGAGGCGGCACTCAACATTTGAGCAATGCTCGTATATTAGAATATTCAGAATCCTGAATCATAAAAATGCTCTTACATTTACATCGTAATCATATTTATATTCTGTGATAAGTTTCAGTAATTCTCTTCATTTCTTTACTCAATAAAATCTCATCCTCTTACCAGCGTAATAAATTTTGAAATAGGATCTGCCATAATATTAAAACGAATTCGACCAAGATTTTTGCAACTACCTTCCAATTAATAAAAGATTAGTCGACAAAGAAATTGTCCTTTCTTTATTAAAACTATAATATGCTAAATATTCTAAATATATTAAACTGTTATTTTTTAATCAAATATATATTAAAGGTTAGTACAAATGTTTCGTATTCTCATAGAAAATATATATTATATGTCAGTAAAAACAATATAAACTAATTTGTTTCGCAGATTTATACTGAACAAATCTAGTTGAGTTACACTTCTTTACTCGTACACTTTTGACAGAGTGATCGTATCTTTTATGATGATTTAGTATTAGCACAGATAACATAATATTACATAGTTATGTTTTTTGTTAGAGTTAGTATGAGCTACACTAGAAATAACCAAACTTTAGTACGAGTAATAAACAACATTTTTTCGTTATATTCACAAAATTAAGCTAAATATAAATAGCGAAACTATGTCAGTTAGTACTGGTTTGTCCGTCATATTTAGTTTAATCACATTGATCAATATCAATGATTAAAGAGATTAAACTAAAACATATGAACAGTGACCTCGGAAATAAATACAAATATATCAATATATTTTTGTATTTGTTACCGAGGTCACTTTTGCTAACTTTATTTTAGTTTTGATGTGACAGATCTAAAAAAAATTTCGTATCAAGACAGACAGTTTTGGTCTGAAATTTCTTTCAATTACATTAATGGTGTATAGAGAATATAAATAAATATAAATGTGATCTCTATAAGAATTTGTAAAGTGATATCTATGTTTAAATGTTTGATACTCTGATTGAGTGCTTCGACTTCTAGAACGATTTAAAAGAAATTTCGGATCAATACAGACAGTATTAGTAATTCTATTGAAATTGTGTAAATACACTATTATTATAATTATTTGTCAAACTAAGTATTTAATAACTATAAACCAAACAATGTTAGGTAATTGAAACCAATCGTATCTCAGGAAATAAAGAATAAACGATACCTTTTTTATGAAATAGGAATGACAAACAAGCTGACAGCCCACCTGATCGTACGTGGTAATCGTCGCCTATATCCATAGACAGCACAGTGATGCCCATGATACCACTCATGAGTTGCCATTCCGAAGGACTAAGATGTCAAGTCCCTTTTCTTGTAATGTCATTGCCTTTTATCGCCCTACCGCCGTAATACAGTTTATTAAGCAAACTTGTTGCTGGACAAATAATATTGATAGTTGGTCATATTAATACAATACAGGTAGATTGAGGCAATTGATATTGTCATGTTGATATTGTCCTTGGGAATTTTAAAAGAAATAACCGCTATAATCTGGGCTATAAGGCAACGACCTAATTATACCATTTTTATGCGTGTATAAGATTATTCTCCTCGCGTGACTTATAGCAGTTTATTTAATGTGACCCGTATAAGCAATCCTCGACACGTTGCCCATATTGGAACAAATGTTCGTACCAAAGTTGGCGAAAAATATATAAATCCGGTAAATAATCGTGTGCATAAAAATATTCAACGAGGCAACCTTGCAGTTGAATGATACTGCGAGTGCATCTCTATAAAATGTCATAGACAATTCTCCCTAATATGACATATTGAATTTTCACGTTTCAATATATGGCTGTAAAATATTGTGCAACTTTATAAATGCAGTCACGAGAAGTATATTTATATAGTTATATTTAAATAAAATGAATTTACCGCCACGATTGTTATCGCGGATGGGGCACTCATAATCATTGTAAATTGTCGACTCCATGGTGAACATAACACTTGCCATGTCAACATTTCGCTAAGTATATTTGATTTCAAGGAGGCAGCAGGCGAGTCTCGTATCGAGGTTGTCCCACAGACTATTTTTTTATTTTGTTATCGGTGTTTCATCAATCTTCTCTTTACTCAGAAATATAAATAGACATGTCAAAAATACATACAAGTTCTTTATGTGTCCGTAAGATTTGATTTCACTCCCTTTTGTGTATAAGGCCGGGTAGAAAGGCACTAATCCATAATTTTTCAAGATAAATAAAATAACAACAAAATGCATAGCTTTAGTCCTATGACTTAGCATCATTAAAGATAATAACAAACATGTCTACATATTGCCAATTATGATTAACTTATATGAAAAAATGTATTATTTGTCAGACTTTTAAACTTTATTAGTTAGTGTGGCGAATTTAGGAAAGGTCAAAGTGAAGTTTCCGTGTATGTGTTGAATTGTCACTCCACAATAAAATTTGAATACAGTTTGAAATTATACAAAGTTCTCTATTTACAAAAGATTGCACAGATCGATCGATACAATATAACAAATAATGACTTCTTTGAAGAGATGCCTCCCTTATGGTTGGCTCCCTCACTATATATATTTGAGCTGTCATACAACAAAGGATTTACTCGAGAACTTTGAAAATTCCGTGAAATTCAGCCTTTCAAGGTTCTTTCGACCTAAGCAAACACGACCCAAAACTCGAAATTGGCTCCTTTTATGCGATTAGAGCTGATAAGATGCAATGTCTTGGGTCTGGTTTGATAACTGGGATTATCTTTTGCTGTCCGTTGTTGAGAAAAATTGCTTTCTGTCCTGTCTAACCCAGATGGGTAGATAAATGGGATTTGTAAAATAAATAAATTTAATGAAAATATTATTAAATCTATTTTACTAGTTTATTATTATAATATTCATATTCAAGAGCAAATCATACCTTTTATTTCTCTCAAAAACTTGTAACTCTGACCACTATCTGTAAAAGAAATGAAAAGTAACATATAGAAAAATATCATACTTATAGACATAACAATAAATATCTGACTTACATTTTAATATAAATGATACATAAGAAAATTCAACAAGAACAATAGAATATGTTAATGTATTAATAATCGTGAAAGTACACCAAATATAATAGAGTAACGCGTATATTCTATGTAGCTGGGCATATAACATCAAAAGGCTCTTTCATGGCGACAACAAACTTTATTGAAATATCGGGTAGGCATACCAAAAAAGCCTAACGACATTTTTCCTTGGTCCCTACATTAAATAGATTGAACGTGAAAAAGTGCAAACATTTTGTTGAATTGAAAAGCTAGCTGACCTGGCTACGAGTAATAGATAAGCCTTGTTGACCATATTTTTGGATAATATAGAGACAGCAAAATTTTTACAACAGCAACTTTTTTACTGCAATTTATGTAATCTATGCTATCCGCACTAAATCATAGCACAAATGTCTGTTCATCTGTCTGTCTGTTTATTATCTTTTCACAACTAGACGGCTGAACGAATTTTAATGAAATTTCAGATAAAGATAATTTGTATTATGAGGAAGAACATGGTTCTTTTTTATTTCAAAAATACTCTGGAAAGGTCGAAAACTCCTGAATATAACTGTGTGCAGACTCGGTCGCGGTTACCAAATCCATCATTATCATTGCCTTGTTATTATACCATTTTGGGGTCGCCACAGTATGACATCTTCTTCCACTGATTCCTATAGCCCATCATATCTAAGCTTACTCTCTTTTTAGACATATTATCTTTCCCACAATACACTCATCTTCTTTTCGGTCGTCCTCTATCGTTGCATCAACGTGGATAGCCACATTTATGTTAAGTACTTTCTTTAAAACATGATTCTTGCTCCTCCACATGATTTGCCCATCCCAAAAACGGTAACCTTTTACCATCAATTGGGCCGTATGCTTGTTTGTCAGCTACTTATTACAAATATAAATACAATTAATCAAATAACATTTAACCATAGTGTATATAATAGATTATTATTTACAGAATAGCAACAGTTCATTTATATACCTATACTTACTAAAACTGTAAGCGTTACTGACAGAATGCTGTTAACGTAACATTTAAAGTGAATAAGTCCATAAGTTAATGTGGACTTTCGTCCAATAAATGTACTAATATTATTAGATGCAAAAATATGTATATCTGATTTTCTGTTAAATATCGATCAAATGAAATTCACGACAAAACCGCTGAACAGGTTTTTATTAAAGATGTAGTAGATTAGTTGCATCACGAGAGCACATATAGACTACCTTTTATCCTAAAAAAGTAAATGAAGTCGCAGGTATCATCACTATTTTTTGTTATAAAAAAGTCTCAAAATAAACAAAATGTATGGTCTACGTACAACAGGATAGGAACAGTCCATTCATGTAGTTGACAATACAGCTCAGACGCGCGTCCACACAACGTGACTCCAATACGAAAAAACGTCATCCCATTCTGTTACACATCACCTTTTGCAAGTCATATCTTATGAAGAAGGTCATGACGTAGTACACAATCCATACTAATAAATTGTGTGTCTGTATTTTTGTCAGTTTGCTGCCATTTACGACTAAACTGTTGAACAAATCTGAATGTTTGAAAACACATAGAATATATCACGACAATAGATATAAGCCTACTTTTTATCTAAAAAAATTAAACGAAACCGCTGGCTTCAACTAGTTTTTTAAGACGCATGTTCACAGAACGTGACTCCAATACAAAAAAAACGTCACCCTATCCTGTCACTCCTTTTCCAATTCTTTGAAATTCATGATGTAGTTACATAACCCACGTATATAACCAACATACAAGAAAGTAACAAATTCTTAATTATTGCAAAAAATGCGAAAGTTTGTTAGTATAAATGAATGTTTGTTACTATTTCACGCAAAAAGTACTGAACGAATTTTAATGAAAATTTACAGTAATATAGGCTAAAAATATCAAACGGGCGAAAGCACGGGCACAGCTAGTATAATATAAACTATCATTGGGGAATCTTATCAACGTAATAAAAATGAAAACAATTATACGTATTTTTGTGTACATATGTGACTGCTAGTCTCAGAAAATGCAATTTATTGCAGTAGAAGGTATTGTAGGAAACTTTACATCAGCTGTTACAACAATGCCAAAGCGTTTTCAAATAAAAAAGTTAAAGTACGATCGCCGGTCTTAGTTATGTAGTTTGAAAAAAGTAATAAATTATATGATACAAATGCTAAGCAGATAATACAGACAAATGATAGTTGGAGCTTGTAGTAAAGTAAATATTCATGCAACGAAAAATGTACTAAGTATAATGTTTAGAATAATTTAGCTTTCTAGAAATAAGTGAAATTACATACATATATTCACAAGACTTATTGTCTCAGAGGTTTAAAGATAGAAACTTATAGAAATACAATATAATTTGAAAAATGTATCTAACGTAGTGTAAGTAATCACAAAATACCTAGTATGCGTATTCATTTAGAAGGTGTGGAAATATTGTTAGTGCATGGTCACGCAGGAGGAATACCACGAGCATTACACAACGATATAATGTCCGTATTTTGCTGTTCATGTATATAGACGACAATTAGCACTAGTAGCATTACTAGGAGAACCATCAGGTTGGTTATCATTCGAAATATATAAATGAAAACCTAAGTAAAATTGTTGTATTTGAATTTGAAGTGTTTTACTTCAATTCCACTAAACAGATTTTAAGCCAGCCAATATTTTAACCAACATTGTTTTATTTAATTAGAATTGTAAACAGACTGACGGCCTACCTGATAATAAGTGGTAACTGTCGCCTATATACATGAACAGCAACACATCATGTGTGTGTATCTGTAGTATTACTTGCGTTCACATACTCAGACACACACACACAAACACATAAACACACACACACACGCACACACGCACAAACGTACACGCACACAAACACACACTGTTGTTTTCTAAGATTCCTTTATATTCTGTAATTTCAGTGTTTTGTCTCACTAGTTAACCGAAACACATCTTGCAAAGTTAACTGCTTGGCGGCTGAAATAGGCAACACAAGGAAAAGATAAAATCTATTACGATTAAGTAATATTATCTTTCAATAAACACATTTTTCCCTGCCTATACTAGTGAACCGTCCAACCTATTATTGAATATGTATATCAACTATGATACTACGACCCATAAGTACAAAGCCGATCGATGCAGCTCATTTTAAGCTCAATTTTCCAGCTAACCTGTTTCATAGATCGACGAGATATACACAGCGCCAGATTCAGTAAATATGCGACATCTTTAAAGCTCTTTAAGGGAGGGTTTAGAATATATGAATATATAATTTTTATAAATTTCATGCAAATTCCCGAATATGCATCTAGTTTTAAATTGCTAAAGATTAAACTTATAGTTTTTTAAATGCTCTTTTAAACAAATTTGATGATAAATTTATGAGAGAGTACTTCTAAAACTCTTTGATCAGCAGAATATAATCATAAAGTAGTATAACTAATTGAGATTACTTAAGAGTATATTTTATAACCTATACAGCTCTAAAAATTTGGCGGGATTTATGATATATTCTGAATAAGCAAATTATGAGTTCTGCATGAAAAATAGAAGACTACTACACTACTACAGAATAGAAAAACAGGTGGGCTTATGAATTTTTGGATGATAATTCCTAAATAATTCTACGCGATGAACTAACTATCCTGACTACTCCACTTCTCAACACATTCTCTAACTCACTTCACTGATAAAACTACAAGACTACTTCTATGTAACTAAAAATAATTTCCATAATAAACCTATGCAATACCAAGTTTATTTATTTATCTACGTACTGGTGAATCAATCTAATACAAGATTTTATATTATTGATATATCTTTTGGTTTATAACATAAATTAATACTAAAAGTGTAAAACAATTCTCTAATCTCTATAATATTAATAGATGTTTGAGATGCAATTAATTTAATCAGTAATTTTATTACAGAACTATGTAATAAAATAATTTTCAAACTACAGTCTAACCCGTAATAAAATTACTAATTACGAAGTTCGTTCGTCGCGCGGAAATTTCAAACCGTAGACTATTCATAGACTAATTTTCTACAACACTGCACTGATTACTAGATCCAATATCTATACATATTATAAAACGATTGAACCCTTGCAGCGACTGTCAGTATATTTGCGATATTCTCAAAATCTACTGAACGAATTTGCATGTAGTTTAAACAGAATGTTTTCCGTTCCTCAGAAATCACTCTTGTTTAGGTTTACATTACAATTTTATGTAAATTAATTTAAATAAACATCCAATTTTTACGTATAAGAAGTATTGAAAACCATTATTTCACTATGTTATGTATTAAAGTCTATCTTGTTGATTGGTTTTCAAAATGCATGTAATTTAAATAGTTATAATAATTAAATTAAATTGGAATCTAAAATCTTCAAACTGAAGTCAACTAATTAATTAAATTACTAACAGCACAGTTCCCGTTGCGTGCAAATTTCAACCCTGTAGGCTATTCATACTATTAAATAAGCTAATTTTCTACAACACTGCGCTGATTATAATACAAACCTTCAGAGGGCACTAAAAGAGCATTCGATTAACGACTGGCCCGATTTATACGACCATTTCACTTAACTTGCTTGTATTTTTATGACTCGTTTTATAGATGCCTATTATACCAATGGACCATGATAAAGACACAAATTAAACAGTACTGAAACTTATATATAGGAGTTATAAACTGATTATTTATATATGTATTATAAAAGAGTCATAGTTGCATATTTATTAGTACATACTTACGTGAGTATTTTTTTATACAATGATAGTCGCAACTCAACGTGTGCAATATGTTCACCAAGGTATCTTCCAGCAGCGGAGAGATACTTATTAATAACCACGTTATGATAATATAAATAGAAGT